CGGTTTGTGAAAGATTTCTCCAGGCTAGCTTCGCCGTTGACTAGATTGACTCGGAAGGGAGTCAAATTTGTGTGGAGTGAGACTTGTGAAAGTCGTTCCAAGAGCTGAAGGTTAGATTGACCACTGCTCCGGTCTTGATTATTTCGGAGAGAGGGTCGGGTTACGCGGTTTATTGTGATGCCTCAGGAGAGGGTTTGGGTTGTGTGTTGATGCAAGAAGGGAAAGTGGTCGCTTATGGCTCACGCCAGTTGAAAATTCACGAGAAGAATTACCCTACACAGGACCTAGAGTTAGCGGCAGTGATTTTCGCCTTGAAGATTTGGAGGCACTACCTTTATGGTGAGAGGTTCGAGGTGTTCTCGGACCACAAGAGTTTGAAGTATCTGTTTACACAGAGAGACTTGAATTTGAGGCAGAGGAGATGGATGGAGTTCATTGAGGACTATGATTTTGAGTTGCACTATCACCCGGGAAAGGCCAATGTTGTGGTCGATGCCCTTAGTAGGAAATCCATTAGCGATGTAGCTTGTATAGCCATCCGGGAATGGGGAATGTTGGGTGTACTTGGCGAGTTTGATTTGCATTTGGGCGAATCTATTGAGACTGCGGCCTTGTTTTCTGTTGTTACGCAGCCTACACTTGTGACTCGAGTGTTAGAGGCACAGAGAGGTGACCTTGAGGTAGAATCCTTCCGAGAGAAGATCTCCAGAGGGAAAGTTGAGAAAGGTTTGACGGTGTATCCCGACCTGAGTGTGAGATACCGAGACCGTTTGTTTGTGCCGGAGTCTTGCCGAGAGGAAGTACTCCGAGAGTTTCACCATTCACGCCTTGCGGTGCATCTGGGAGGCACCAAGATGTATCGTGATTTGGGTCATCAGTTTTGGTGGTGGGGTATGAAGAAGGATGTGGCAGTTTTCGTGTCTAAGTGCCTTACTTGTCAGCAAGTGAAGGCCGAGCATCAGAGGCCAGCGAGTTTGTTGCAACCCTTGCCTATTGCCGAGTGGAAGTGGGAGCATGTCACTATAGACTTCGTTGTAGGTCTTCCGAAGACTCAGCGGGGTAGTGATGCCATTTGGGTGGTTATAGACCGGTTGACTAAGTCGGCGCACTTCATTCCTATGCGCATGAGAGATTCAGTAGATCATCTTGCCAACTTGTATATTCGGGACATAGTGAGATTGCACGGGGTCCCAGTGACGATCGTCTCAGATAGAGATCCTCGTTTTACTGCTAGGTTGTGGCAGAGTTTGCAGAGTGCCTTGGGCACTAGGTTGACCTTTAGTACGGCTTATCATCCTCAGACTGACGGACAGTCCGAGCGTACTATTCAGATACTTGAGGAT